GCTGCAGCGTCAGACGGCTGTTCACCTCCAGGTCAAAGGTCGCTGTGGCCGTGATGTTGAACTCAAACTCCCGCTTCATTTTCTGGAAGGCTTTGACCACGGCTGGGGAAAAAAAACCGGCGGAGACGTGGAGAAGAGCTGGACTCACGGGAACGCGAACAGAAAAACACACGTCAACTCACGATCGGCCAGATGTTCCTTCAGATGTTCCGCAATGTAGGACGGGATGATGCAGAAGAACTCCGCAGCTGAGACGAACGAACGGACGACGACAACAAAGCCGTTTTTAAATATTCTCCAGGTGTTTTCGTTTTGTTGTTCTATTTTTATTCTGACGTGAATCCACGTTTACCGCGTGTGAGGCTGCAGAGCGGCATGAAGACTTTGATGACATCACACAGCGGACTGAATTCTCCCAACTGTAGGACGCAGTCCGCGTGGCCTTTGTTGAACACGGACCGGCATTTCCTGTAGGGAGAGCCCAGCTTCTCGTTGCACACGTCTCCGATCTGGACCAGGAAGTGGAGCACGTTCCTCAGGATACGAGCTAGAGGACACACACACACACACGTGGACAGTCCAGCATTTGGTGGGTCAAACCTGCTCTCCAGGGATGAGGTGGTCAGGGTGGAACTGTTCTGGGACCAGCACGCCGTGCTGGTCCCAGAACAGTTCCCACCCTGACCACCTCATCCCTGGAGAGCAGGTTTGACCGTTCCACTTTGACCAGCAGGGTGTCGACACCTGGTGGTTGTTGATGTCTGTGACCTTTACCCACGTGTCTGACCCCGTCGGTCAGAGCGTAGATGAGTCGGTGGACTCGGTTCACCACGGCGTAGGCTTTGGAGGTGATTTCTCGGATTTTGTCTAAAGCCGCTGCAGAGAAGGAGACGACAGACAAAAAAAAAAAAACCACAGCAGTGACAAATCGACTAAACAAAGGGGAGGAGCCAACAGGAAGCTAACGGTCCAGACATATGTCCTAAAACTCCTAAGACTTCACAATTAAAAAAAACAAATTACTAAAAATGGTAATAAATAAATTAAACAAGCTAAAGCTAACAGAATGCTAGTTAGGATGGTTTATCTAACTAGCATGATTACTAAAAATGGTAATAAATAAATTAAACAAGCTAAAGCTAACAGAATGCTAGTTAGGATGGTTTATCTTCTAACTTTGTTATCAATTTCAAGCTGCTTCTTGGACTCCGTGATTGACAGCAGAGGTGGGCGGGTCTTACATAGAAGCGGTGTGCTTGCGCGCCGCAGAAGCTCTTGCGTCTGATTGGCCGCCTGCTCTGCACCACACAGCAGACTGGCCGCGGCCCGTTCTGTGTTCTCCAGCGTGTTCTGGACTGGACCAGTGAGAAGAACCAGAGTGAAGAGGAAGAGCAGGAAATGTCTTCCACGGGCTGCAGAAGAAGAAGAGATGAAGAAGAACAGGAGACGCTGTGATTGGCTGAAGCACCTGTGTCACAGGGACAGAGCAGCGATGTGGACGTGGACGTGGACCTGAGAACATGGACGGCAGCATGACCATGACATCAGCCCGGACTCCGGCGAACAAACCCATACTGAAGGCGGTTGGCAGCGCCACCACCAGGGTGGAATGGACACAGAACCACAGTGGCTGGTTCTGCAGGATCAAAGCTATGACCCCATACAGAGAGGCCAGCATCAGTCCACACAGGAACCCGCTCAGGCTCCACCCCTCATCCAGGGAGTGGCTCAGGACCTTCCTCCAGAGCCAGTGATGACCGCGTCCTGCCGAGGAGCCTCTGGGCCTGTGAAAGAAACCAAGATCATCTACGGCACCAACCTGGTTTGGTTCAACTTGGAGTTAAGAATGAAACCATCAGGACTGGACTCTTGCTCTGATCTGTTTTCTGAGACCTGGGTTCAAAGGAAACCCAAGGGTTTCTGGTTTGGCGTTCACCCGGACCTTAAGCCCAAAGTCTCGACTGCGACCAATGTTCGTTACCGACTGGTATCAGACCTGAAACCCTGGAGACTCGGCTCAGACTTTTCTCTTGTTCCGTTCTGACCTGCTCAGGACTCCAGTGATGATGCGTCTGACGCCGTCTCCTTTCACCTGGACACAGATGTCACTTTTCATGGAATGTTCCGGATTTCCTCTAGCCTCCATTTTTGCTTTTGGTTCAACTCTTCGCTTTCGTCATGTGTCATTTCCACATTTTTGTCTGTTCTTTTAAAATCTTCACCTTTGTACTGTAGCCAGGGCAGCCATCTTTGTCCTTTGATTTCAGATTAAAGGACCTTTACGACTATGTCTTTGTTGTTATGCTGCCTAATGTAGAAATATATTTTTATTAAACTATTATTTCTCCAAAGTGTCTTTTATTAAAACAATGAGTGAGTGTGAAAGACGCAGACGTTCACCTCCACACAGCAGTGAGTTCAGCTCCATCAGTCACAGTCAACCACTAAAACTAACCAGGAGACAACTTTGTCCAAAAACATTAGCTAAAGGATAGCCAACCTTTAGCTACTTGTTGTCATACTTCATCGAGTTTTTCCTCTTCGTGTGTTACAGCTGTGGACAGGTTGTGTCTGAGTGTCCTCCCTCCTGCTGTCCATCGGTTTATTTTCAGCCAATCAGAGGAGACCACTGTGCTCCGCCTATTGGTCAGAGCCACGTTCGGAGCGGTCAGCGGCTTAGGTAACGACGCACGGTCAGGAGGATGACACTGGTTTTCATCAAGTTACAGAAAATGAAGTACTATATCATAGTGTAGTACCACCACACAGAAGTACACAGAAGTACACAGAGTTTCATAATACTGCGTAACGTTGCCTCATGTAACACGACGTGTAATGACATAAGGTCAGAACTTACATCCATGTAGCTTAGCATCGCTAACCTGGATCAAACAACAGACTAACTATAGCACAAATAAGCTAACAACATGTAGCGTCTGTTCAGCCCGCCTCTTGTTCTCTCAGTGATGTTCGTGGGTCTAGCTCACAGTCTCCCCCTGTCTGTTGACCTGAAGATCGCAGCCGGATGTGTCTTTACCGGTGAGAAGAAATCACACGACCAGATGCTGACGTTTTACTGACATTTGTCAAACATAACTGGTGTGTGTGTGTGTGTGTGTGTGTGCAGGTGTTTGTATCCTCTGTGGTGCATTCTCCACCTCCTTCAGGTGTTCAGTTCTCCTGATGTTACCCAGCATCCTTGGCTCCCGTGGTCGAACGTACCTGATGGTTTTCATTCTGTCTGTGCTCTACACAGGTACACACACACACACACACACACACATAAACACTTATTTAAGGCTAACAGTTAGCTAACAAACGTACGATGAACACGAATTAAACACACGCGGCCATGTCCCCGACAGGACCGTTGTCAAACATCGAACACAACATACGCGGGGTGGCGCTGTCGCTCAGCTGCAATCTCGACCTTCAGATTCAGAACAGCAGGTTACTGTGGCGCGACGCCATCAAACCGTTGTCCACGATCATGGAGCAGTTGGTGGTGAGAACCCTGAAGTGACGCGATGGTTAGTGACGTGTGCGAGCTGATGATTGGCTGTATTGTAGGAGTGTATTAGTGACAAGCTGATGATTGGCTGATTCCTCTCACCCAGGATGACAACACGGACTTTGAGGCAGAAAGTCGCAGCGTCCCCGCTAAGTTTCAGGTCATCAGAGATGAGGTGGCGTCCAGGTACGGATACGAGCGTCTGTCGGGAAACAGCACGCAGGAACGATTCACTTCAAGAACCATGATGCAATGCGACAGTGAGTTGTTATTATTATTATTATTGGTACACTGCTGCCTCCTGTGGCCAGTGTGTGTCAGAATTGTATTATAATTAATAATAATTCTAACGACTTAGACCTGCTGTATTAGTGACCTCTCTGTATTTTTGACCAGGTGTGGTGGATGGGGGCATAAAGCGCTGCTCTGATTGGTTCATCACTAAATGGGAGGAGTGTATGAAGACCATTGCCGTCCCAGTCATCAACCACATCTTCTGTGTACCAATGACATTTTACTTCCTGTGTGATGTCATGAGAGGTGAAGGGTCACATGTCCTACAGATTAACCTGATCATGTGACTGATGTCGTCACTGATGAGTCATTTTGATTGACACCTGTGATGTGAGTGATTGACTGATTGATGACCCCTCAGTGATGACCCCTTGGTGTCGGGAGCAGATTCCGGTGGAGGGGAACTTCGGTCAGCTCTACGATCAGCTGGACGGAGCCGTGGACATGTTGTCCGGAGAGTTCAGCAGCCAGCTGCTGGTGGAGGTCAGGGATGTGATGTCATAACAAATCTGACCTTTATGAATCCACCGGCTGACATTTGACCTCCTGCAGGAGCAGCAGCAGCGGTCAGTTCTGGGCGGAGCCGTGTTGGATCAGGAGTTCAGTGTTTCCGTCAGCAGATCCTTCCAGAAGCTGAGCTCGGTGATGGCGCAGATACTGGACCTCCTGCAGCTGCTCCTCTCCTTCACCTTCATCAGTATCTTCAGCAGGTAAAGTCCGAACCAGCCAACCTGGTCAGGTGAGAGGTCAGGTGATCAGCTACTGGTCGTGTACAATCATCCTTTTCTCCTCTGCCCGTCGTTCCCTCCTCCTCAGAGCTGTCAGCTACGACAGAGAGTACAGGAAGGACATTCGGTTTGACAACGTCTACGTCACCACCCACTTCAGACAGATCGACGCTCGCAGAAAAAGAGAGGTAACTCCAACATCATCATCATCATCATCATCATCCCCATCATCATCATCATCATCAACATCATCATCATCATCATCACCATCATCACCATCATCATCATCACCATCATCACCATCATCATCATCCTCACCCTCAGTCGGGTCGTTATCGTCGCTCATCGCCTCCTTTGGTTCTTCCAGGGAAAGCGCTGCGTGCTGCCGCTGAGACGTCCAGAGAAGAAGAAACTGATCGATCCACGGCGTCTCAGGATCCACCTTGATGAGTTCAGAGAAGTGGTGAGTTCGACTCTCTGTGTCTCTCTCTCTGTTATATATATATATATTTATATAGATACACATATTTATATGTGTGTGTGTGTGTGTGTGTGTGTGTGTCAGGTGTCAGGGGTGTTACAGCTCCTCTCCGTCTGTCTTCTCTGCATCGTCCTCCTGGCCGTTGACTTCTCACTGGTCCACGCTCTGAAGATTGTCAGCAGACACACCTACAGCCAGTTCAACCTGAGCAGTAAACAAACACACACACACACACAACCAGTTTTGCAGTGAGGGATTGTGGGTAAGATGGTCTCTGTGCAGGTGGACATGATGTGGATATCCGAGTGGAAGGAGACTCCATGATGTCCCACCTCCTGAAGAAGACCATCACAGCCTTCAACAGCTCATCTCATCTGAAGGTCCACACTGACAACAGGGGTAGGTCACAGGTCAGGGGTCACAGGTCAGGACACAGACAATATGACAGTGGGAGGAGATTTGGATTTAAATGGGAGGAGCCATAATCACATGTCTCTCTCTCTCTCTCTCTCTCTCTCTCTCTCTCAGCCTGTGTCACTCGCCCCTCCTCCCTCTCCCTTGACGTGTATGTCACCTGCGGCTGTTGTGTCCTCTTGGTGGCGCTATTCACCTTACTTCAGGTCTACACCAACCGCCTCAGGAGAGTCATCGCCATGTTCTACCACCCACTGGTACACAACACACACACTTTAAACACACACACACACACACACACAATTACTTTCACTCTCCAACACCAAACCTCACAGAGAAAACATTTGTTCAGATTTATTTAGCAAGAAATACCAACCACAAGAGGCAGCAGAGAGCCCGCTGCCCCGGTCACAGTGAGCTAAAATCTGTGAACAGGTATTTGTGTAGCTGTCAGTGAAAATTAAACAGTTCAGCAAAACAATGGACTGGTTTAAACTGAGGCACACACACACACACACACACACACACACACACACACTAATCTGAGAACAGGTCCATCAAAGAGGATTATAACAGCGGGCAGTGGAGCGCTGACATGACACAATTTATTGTTAATCCTCTAAAGTAAAGTGGGTGGAGTCAGGCTGAAGCTGGAGTTACACTAAATATAGATCAATGGAACACTGTATTGTCATTGTAGGAACAGGTAACAATGGACACACACACACTATCTAAACATAATGTTATCATATATTTATAGTGGAGTTTAGAATGCAGACGACTGTGCACACACACACACACACTATCAAAACATAACAATGATGTAATATATTTACAGTGGAGTTTAGAATGCAGACGACTGATGGTCTAATTTTCCTTGCCTTTGTTGATTTACATGTGTAATGATCGTACGCTTTTTTCAGCATCTTTCTCACTGTCTCATTTTTTGTGTTTTAGCGGGAAAAGAAGAGAATAATTTACCTCTATAACCTGCAGTTGCAGAAACGCATTTACTGCATTGACAAGAAATGCATCACCAAGCACGAACGCAGCAAGAGGACGGTGAGAGAACACAAGAAATTAGCTTCTTCAGTTAAACGTACCAAACATTAGCTTGTTGCTAACAACGTTAGCTACAGTCTGCACCACAAAAGGCCAGATGTTTTGACAAGACCACATCTCCTGACGTTCCGTTACACAGTTAATGGCAGTAGAGTCTTGAACAGATGCTAACGGATCAGCTAACGTAATGTATCAGTTGTTATTAAAGGCTGATTGTTTGTAACTTTTTAAACGTGACAAAAAAAGAGAGAAAAAGTTGTTATTAAAGGCTGATTGTTTGTAGCTTTTTAAACGGGACAAAAGGAGAAGGATAGAAACTAATCATATTCCACCTTGATGTTTTTGGCAGGTGTTTCAGCGTCTCACCAGCTGGGGGCGACAGCTCTGTTGCAAAAATAAAAGACCAAAAAAAGAGTCGGACTCTGAGACCCACTACAGCCCTGGATAGAAAAAGAAGAAGAAGAAAAATAAACAAATTAAAATGATTTCTGCCCAGGCTTTTGTTCAATAAAAGCATAGTTTTTGGAAGCAACACGTGAGAAAAATAGTTCTATTATTATTATTATTTGTATCTGTTATTTATTGAAACTGTTCACAATAACAATAGATTAATGTTTTTTAAACAAACATATTACAACATTTTGGATGGATGGAGGTGAACACATCCTGTAATATCTGTTTGTTATTACCGGTATACAGAATTTATCTAATTTAATCCTGGGCATTATCCTACCAGAAATGATTTGGGTCAAACAGCAAATTCTAGCAAATATCAAGTTTCTTACACATCAGATTCCAAGGATAAAGATTCTTTTTGGTCGAATTATGAGGCAATCTTAGCTAATCCTCTGAAACAGCAGCACACGCCAGCCCTGGTTTAATCCACATTAATCTGATGCTGAATCAGTGTGTTTCTGCATCACATGACCCACGTGTTCCAACATGTCAAATAGTGAAGGATATGTCACGTTCTTGAAGAGGTCAGAGGTCACAAGAGGTAACACAAATAGGGGAAAACTGTAGAAACTGTGGTCGGTGAAACGTGTTTTACAGACCTTAATATGTTTGAACTATAACTGCTTTTATATTCAGAATAAATCTGACTTCTCAGGCAAAACTACATTCACTAACACTTGAAAACAATGATAACTGCTAATGTCGAGTCATTACAATGAACTTCTAACTACAGTTCCCACTTGCAAATAACTGTGTACAGTCCCTGCGTTTTAAAAAATTAAACGTGCTAATATTAGCTAACGAGTATTAAAGCTTGTTATATCCACAAATTGTAATATTTTTAATTTTATTTGACATTTTATTATTATACGTTTATAATTCTAAATGAAAATGTTGCCTTTAATTTGAAGTCCCTTCTGTTTTCCGGTGCTTGGGGTCAGTTCCGGCTAATCTCCGTCAGCGTTCAGAGACTCCCGTATATAAATAACGTCTGTATTTCAGCGGGAATCTCCGCTAAACGTACGAACTCTACCGACTTTTGCCGACGTTTACCGAGTTAAAACTGGCTCAGGCCGGTGCTAATGCCGGTTTGTCGCGGCAGACACTGCGCAGATAACGGAACACTGAGTGCGGGTCGACACCGAGCGGCGACTATGGAGTGTGGACGGAGCTGCCTCCGGAGCGACACGGGCAGGTAACGGCGGCGTCCCCGGACTTCCTCGCTCTCTGAGCTGCCGACGGAACGACCTGTTGCCGCTGATGCGCAGAGGATGAGCGGCGGCGCCGCCTCATCGCTGCTGCGGTTGCCGCTGCTGCTGCTGCTCAGCGGCAGCGCTGCCTTCACGGTCTCTATGTCCCTGAACGCACCGCAGAACCGAGCAGTTCAGAATGAGAGTAAAGACCGAAAGACAGACGGTACCGATGGTATCATCACATCCGTCACAGGTAATAAAGTTTTGTTTATCTTAATTTAATGTTTAGAACTAACTAAATATTTTTATAACGAATAAGCTGGATATTAAAATTTCAACACCCTAATCACATGAAGGTAAATCTCATTATAGTCCTAATATTTACGGAAAAAAACATTTGAATGTAGAAACAGTTTGATGTTGGCTGGAATCCATACTTTAAAAGTATCATTGTGAAACTTTAAACCGTAGTTAAATGTTGTGTTGACTCGACGGTTACATTTGAATCCAGTTAATTTAAGCTGATGTCACAAATATATTTATGGTTAAACCTGAAGTTGGTGTTAGCTTGTATTTAGCCGTTATGTTTCGTAGGTTTTCACTGAATTGAAATTATAACAAGCCAATTCAGCAGTGTATTTAAATTGAAGCCATACATTTCTAAAAAAACAGGTACAATTTCACCTTAGTCAGAGTTATTGAACTTAAATAACCAAACACTGTATAAATATATATGTATATATATATTTATACAGTAGAAACATAGAGTTTATTATTCTAAAGTTTGGTCAGAGTTATTTTTGAAGTCGGTTTAAACGAGCTATTTGTTCCCAGGTGCGGACAGACAGCGGCGCCCACTCTTGGAGAAGACACGTCCCTTTGTCCTAGTGGACGGACATAGACAAAACCTGGCTGAGGCTTTTCAGGTGAGGCTAGATTAGAACTGGTTTAGAATCTATGAGGTAACCTGTCCTCTTCTAGGTAGTTCACGAAACGGTGACTGGTTAACTGCAAAAAGCTGTCTCAGACAGGTCACAGAATTTCTGTTAGCAATTTGCCAAAGGAACAGTTTTTAAAAAAAAGCTACTGTTAGCATCACGGTGACATGTTTGTTTACTGTAATAACTAGCCTTTACAAAGTGAAGCTCACTGTAGCCAGGCTTTGAACTGTAACCAGCTCTTTTCTAAGTGTATTCTAGCTTACAGTCTGGACAACTTCAACTGAAGTTTAACAACAGACAGGAAGGAACTTTCCAGCACTAACAGTTTCTCCAGGAAGAGCTTTGGTGAATAGACTCTTCCTGTGCAGCTGACAGAAGCTCTGAGATCATTTCCTTTGAAAACTCCCTGGTCATCCAGCAACTGTACCAACTCCACCCGGTTTGGAAGTAACGCAGGCAGAAAAGAGAAAGTGTCTAAAGGGTCAAACTAGAACATAATCAGCAGCTAAATGTCACTGTTGTACAACTTTGACTTGAGAGAAAGTAGATCAAGAGCTCCAGGTTGGTGTTTATTATCACATCATTAACTTCTCTAAGCTAACGGTGTTAAGTCATTGTCGGCCATGTTTGTCCATGGTGAGGGTTTACACTGTGGAAGCTACCGGAATAAATGCTGTTGACCAGACGCTAACAGGCTAATAAAGCAAAGGCAACTAAGTCACCGTAGATCAGAGGAACCAAATGTCAGCCTGGCCTAGTTAAGTCACCGTAGATCAGAGGAAACAAATGTCAGCCTGGCCCAGTATCACATCACATCACCAGCTACTGAGGTGTTGGTAGTTAAGGTACCTCCCATTTTAGTTAGTTGTATTTTACTAGAGTCTGACTAAGAGCAGGGCACCAGGACTGGGCTCTGTCAGGGAGCTACGAACTTTGATCTGAAGAAGAATTCCTCATCCAAGGAGTTCTCCTCCACACAAAGAGAAGAATCAGTTTCAGATGTTTTTATGGTTCTGGTTTTCCCCTGGAGGTCCATACTCTTCTGCTCCACCCTCCTCTATGACACAACCACTGGGGGGGGGGGCAGTTGAGGATAAAAAAGGAAAGAGAGAAAGAGGTAGCAGATGTTGAAAGTGGGTGGGGGAGGCTGCGAACAACAGGGAGGGGTAAAGAGAGAGAGAGAGAGAGAGAAGGTAAAACATCTCCGACAAACCTGAACTCTTTGCGATACTTCTGATTGGTCAGTTTGTGGTTTGATGTTGGAGATTCTTGTTTATTGATCCAAATCAGAAATACTTATTTGAGAACTTGTTTTCAGTTTAGGATTGTCTGATTGTTTGGTTCGTCATTTGGAGGTGTCTGATTGGCTGACCAGTTGTGGTTGATCACTATCAGTTGTTGTTATGAATGTCCTCAGGAGTGAACAGTGTCTTGTTGGGGCTTCGTTTTGTTGTTTACATCATAAACCGTCCCGTTTGAAGACGTCTCGTTCTTTTTCTTTTTCTCTCCGTGTTCTGTGTTTTTACTTTACTATCAGCTCAGTTCAAAGAAATCACTGCAACAGAAATGAAGTCCAATCTGTGCAAACCCACGGAGACACCTCCTACTGTGTCATGTGACCACAACGTGACTCAGCAACGCACACCCAAACACACACACACACACACACAAGCAAACTGAAAAGGATGTGACTCCACCAGAGTACAGAGAAAACAAACACACATCAGCTCAGAAGAATGATGCTGTTTTCAAGAGGAAACACACACACACACACACACAGTCAGAGTACAGGAGAACACACACACACACACACACACACAGTCAGAGTCCAGAGTGCAGAGAGGGTGGAGAAAACAAACACGTTTCAACTCAGAAGATTTGCTATGTTTTTGAAAGGAAACACACACGTGTGCACACACACACACACACACACACACAAACATGGTACAGGAACCACAGAGGACCAGTTTGAAGCTGAACATTTCTTCATAAATCTTTAGGTTCAGTTCTGGTTTCTCCAGCAGAGGGCACTCAAATCACAGAATTACGACACACACTCGACAATAGTACCAGTGTAGTGACGCCCCTGGTGGATGATCTACAGAACAGCTGTGATTTATGCCATGGTCACCACGTGCTCAATTAAAATCTCTTGCATGACGTCACACACAGTACACTGTTTTCACAGAAGTAATTTGTTCAGAGGATCATGAAATGTCAGACATGGGTCACATTTTGCGGCAGTGTGAATGTAGTCTGAGAGGTGACCCACACACACACACACACACGTGCATGTTTGTGTGAGCGTGTTAGACAGGAAGTGTCTCCGTCTCAAACAGCAGCAGCAGAGACAGACGGGAAATCACTGTGAATTGATTGGTGAACGGAAGACCTGCCCACTTCCTACAGGAATATGGAAACAATGGTGTGTGTGTGTGTGTTTGTCTCAGAGTGGAGGATACAACGACACGCTGCAGTGTGGACTGGAGGTGAGAGGACAACTCTTTCTGCTGGACCTGCAGAAAAACCAGTGAGTGTCCAGGACAAATCCCCCCTGCTGCTTAGACTGCCCCCTAGTTTCAAGACTTTCAGCAGAAACTGCAGGATGAAAAGATAAGCCATGTGTCACAGTGTGTTACACCACTCGATGTTTGACATTAACCATTGATCAAATGTATAAAAAAAAAAGTGCAAGAGAGAAAAGGCCAAACGATTCAGAGACATTCTCCGTGAATCCTTTATGGAAGCCAAACGTTAGCTGTAGCATTTTCTGATGGACCTGGGCCTGTGAGGGAGTGTGTGGTTTGGTGTTTTTTTCTGTCTGTACAACAGAAGAATGAATCATTGATTGATGTAAAGATCACATGACCTGACGTCTCCTTTTGCAGTGATCTTCTTCCTGAACCTCCGAACGTCTTCTACTATCTGCCAAACGGCACTGGAGTGTCGGTAAAAGCTGGTCCAGAGGTGAGTCATGGGAAGCTCCCCCCCCACCCCCCCACCCCTGCTGGGGTCTGTTTCACTCTTGTTGTTGTTGTTGTTGTTGTGACTTTGGTTTCATCCACAGACTCACTGCTATTACCACGGCAGCGTCCGAGGATTCCCTGAGTCCAGAGCGGCTCTCAGCACCTGCGCAGGACTCCGGTCAGTATCTGATTGGTTTGTCCAACCATTCACGTGGTGATGTCATAACATAATAATATGCAGGTGGCTGTTAGCTTAGGTAGATTTAGGAATGTGTTGTCTTCATCCACGACAGAAGAAGAGTTGAAACAGGAACTCCTCGTAGAGTCGCTGCCTCAGGACTACTCTGGTCTAATGACCTTATGACCTCTGCATTACTGACACCTCACTTAAGATTGGAGGTCAATGGATGTGGTTGTTAAAAACAGAAAAGACAGCAGTTCTACTGATGAGCCACCAGGGGGCAACTGTGCTGGCTTGACCGTTAGTCTTCAGTAGAGTTAAGTCTCCTCTCACATCAGTAACTCATCGTCACTGGTACAGGTCTGGAGTAGATGAAGATGTTAAGTCTGTAGACCACCTCTCTCCAGGCCTCAGGTCTTTCTTAAACCAAATTCACACAACGTCTTGTGTCTGACTCCACCCACAGCGGCGTCGTCGTCATCAACTCCACACTGAGCTTCGAGCTGCAGCCGGAGGAGGAGGAGGACAGAAGAGATGGAGCTGGAGCTGGAGAAGGAGTTCACCTGCTGTTCTCTCCTACTCCTCTGGAGGGAGACAGTGCTAAAGGTTTTTTTTTTTTGATGTCCTCTCCACTGGAGTCCACTGAAAATGAAAGAATCAAGTATATTCTGTTTTATTTTATTCTATTCTAAGGTTGTGGGGTTCCCAACGCTGCCCCTGCTGGTGAGGACGCAGGTGTCCACAATTTCACACACAGAGTGAGACACACACACACACAAGCAGATTTCACACACAGAGTGAGACACACACAAACAGACACACAGGAGACAAAGACACACAGAGACACACAGTCACTCTTTTATCCTCTCTGTCTGTCTCTGCAGAGAAGGAGAGACATCCTGTCTGAGACCAAGTTCATCGAGCTGGTTCTGGTGGCTGACCATCAGGAGGTCAGTCTGTCCTGGTGTCTTTGTCTGTCTTCTCTGCCTCTGTCTGTGTCTCACTTCTGTCTTCTGTTCTTAAAGTTCATCAATTACCAGAAGAACAACAAGACCATCATGTATCGAATGCTGGACGTGGCCAACCAGGTGGACTGGGTGAGTCCCGGGACCTTTGACCTCAGTCTTCTGGGTCCACTCCGTCCAGATCGGTGGACTGTCAAGTATTTTTCTTTTTCAGTTCTACCGTCCCCTGAATGTGAGGGTGGCTCTGATTGGTCTGGAAATCTGGAGCGACAAAGACAAGATCCAGGTGGAGAAGAGTCCGACGGAGACGCTCAGCAACTTCCTGGAGTGGAGAACCCGAGAGCTACTCCCCCGTCTCCGCCACGACAACGCCCAGCTCATCATGTAGGTCCACAGGAAACCCAGAAGGTCTACGGTCCTGGTCCTGGTCCTGGTCCTGGTCCATAACTGTTCACCTCTGTGTCCCTGCAGGGGCGGGGCCTTCGATGGCACCACGGTGGGGATGGCGTCCCAGGGTTCAATGTGCTCCAAAGACCGGTCGGGTGGAGTCAATGTGGTGAGGGTCACATGATCATCCTGATCTCAAGCTACCTTCACACAAACTGTAACCAGTCCAAACCAGACACAAACCCAAACCCACTTCACACTGATCCAGGACCAGCCCACAGAAATGTTCCTCAGATACAAACACGGTCCATATGTTTAGAACCCTTTAATATCACAGACATCAACAGTTTGTTTTTTTTTGTGTCTACTGACCTGTGGCTCCGCCCTTCTCTCAGGATCACCTGGTGAGCATTTTGGGCGTGGCCTCCACCGTCGCCCACGAACTCGGTCACAACCTGGGGATGAGCCACGACACAGCTGAGCGACACTGCTCCTGCCAGAACGAGCCACGGCTCGGGGGCTGCATCATGGAGCCGTCCACCGGGTCAGTACTGGAACCTTTACAGGGACACGACAAAAAGATGTCCAAACATGTCTCAGTCCATGAAGGATCTTCTCTTTCTGTGTGTGTAACGTGTTTGAACGAAGCTAAAAGAAGCTAAAAGTTCTCATTGGTGATAAAGAAGTTCCTGAAACACATCGGCCAAAAAAAACCAACTCACTCCCTGTTCCTGCTGTAGAGATGGTTTTAACTGTGATGTCACTGTGATGTCACGGCACAGGTTGATGCCAGGTCAGCAGTTCAGCAGCTGCAGCTCCAGCGACCTGTCGGTCAGCCTGCTGCACGGAGGAGGAATGTGTCTGTTCAACGTTCCCAAACCGGAGGTGCTGATGGGTGGAGCTCGCTGCGGAAACCTGTACGTGGAGATGGGAGAGGAGTGTGACTGCGGCCTTCTGCAGGTAGGGACGCCACTGTTCTACTGGGTCTCAGCGCTGTCCTGTCCTGTCCTGTCCTGTCTATATATATGCCTGTTCTGTGATTGGTCAGGAGTGTGATGACCCCTGCTGTAACGCCTCCACCTGTCAGCTGATGCCTGGAGCTCAGTGTTCATCTGACGGAGTCTGCTGCCAGGACTGTAAGGTCAGGGTTCTAACTCACTCAGCTTCATCGATGGGTTCTCCCACATGTTCTGCACCTGAACCTTCAGCCTACCACCTGTTGACCAATAGCTCCACCCTCTGCCCCCCCACACTCCCCCTCCCCTCTTTAGTTGCGAGCAGCGGGCTCAGTGTGTCGTGAGCCCCTCGGAGAGTGTGACCTCCCAGAGTTCTGCACCGGCTCCTCCTCGTACTGCCCCCCCAACGTCTTCCTGCAGAATGGAGAACCCTGTGAGGACGGCGCCACCTTCTGTTACGGAGGAGTCTGTGCCAGCATGGCTGCCCAGTGCCAACTGTTGTGGGGACCCAGTAAGACCACATCTGTTTGAACAGGTTTATACCACACTCAACCCACATCCAATCCAGGTCCATCACCCAGTTGTCCTCCTCAGACTCCACCAGCGCTCCAACCATCTGTTTCTCATCCGTCAACAAACGAGGAAACAAGTTTGGTAACTGTGGTCAGCTGACCAACGGCTCCTACGTTCCTTGTGAAAACACGTGAGTCACAAAAGAAAAAAGATCCAACTGTCCAGTTCCAATTCCTCTGAGTGGTGACCTTTTGGTTTGGGTGCAGTGATGTTCGCTGTGGAAGGATCCAGTGTCAGGGTGGCAGAGAGCGCCCCCTGCTGGGCACCAGCGCAGAAATCCTCACCACTACCGTCCACTTCAATCACAGTGACCTGGTCTGTAGGGGAACCTTCTTCCACCTGGGAGACGACGTGTCCGACCCTGCCACTGTGGCCCCCGGCACGTCCTGTGGCCTAGGAAAGGTCAGTCAGTCAAACAGCACCTCCTGCTGGAGAGAAGCATATTAGTTGCATCAGCAATTTGATATCATAGTATAGAAAAGTCATGGTAAATATAATGGAGTGAAGTGTGCAGACATAGCTCAGGGTTAAACAGACAGAACTGTCTGGAGTGAAGTGTGCAGACATAGCTGAGGGTTAAACAGACAGAACAGTGCAACTGTCTACTGAATGGCGCCTCCTGTGGCAGCCTGTGTTAATTGCAAAGACTCACACTGTTAACCCTTAATTTCCCAAAAGGGAACTCCCAGGGTGATTAATAATGTTCTATCTAATCTGAAGATGGTTGGTTACGTTTTGATAATTTGACCAAATCCTTTAATTATTAAATTAGTAAAGTTAAAAAAAAAATGTTTTTTTTTCAGGTGTGTTTGGACCAAAAGTGTCAGGATGTGTCAGTGCTGGGTGTTGACGACTGTCGCAGGAAATGCAACGGTCATGGGGTGAGTGCGGTGTTGCTCAGCGATGTCCACAGAGGGCGCCAAAAGTCAGAAGCTCACTCTTTGAGTGTATGTGTGTGTGTGTGTGTTTGTTTCAGGTGTGTAACAGTAATAAGAACTGTCACTGTGACATGGGCTGGGCTCCACCAGACTGTAGGTACTCTGGTCATGGAGGCAGCGTGGACAGTGGACCAGCCACCTCCAGCCCAGGTGAACCACTCACCCTCCAACATCTGACCACACGTGTGACACATGTGACCGTTGATCCATATTAACCTCGTCGCCCCGACGTGTGTGCGCCTGTTTATGTTCAGAGTCCGACCCGGTCCGTGTTGCGTTGTTGGTCGTCTTCCTCTTCATCCTGCCGCTGGTTCTCCTCGTCCTCTTTCTTCGTATTCCTCGAGTCCGGCGACTAGTGATGTGTCTGGGAGCCAACAGTCCACTACACAAAGCTCGACAAAACAACAGGTGGCGCTCTGCCAGATAAAGTCTGTACAGTTTATAATCCTCTGAAGCGCTGCTGTGTTTCTCTGTGGAGAAGTTGAAGAAGTCGGCGTTTCCTCTTTATGCATTTCACGTGCCTTTTTTTTACCCACAATGCAGTGTAACTCACTGTGACATGTGGGTCTTGCACTTTGACTACATTAGCGTTTTTAGAGCCAGGCCTGATCACATGACACTGATCCAGTTCTTACAGGTTTGTTTAGCTCAAGCTGAAAACAACATTAAAGGTTATAAAAACCTAGCGTTAGTTCACAGCTATAACAACTATTTAGATGTTGAACAAACAGCTTAGTTTATTACCAACTCCGTTGGCTGAAATGTCAAAATCTAAGACTAACTATTGGTTAACAAGGTAGAGGAAAAACAAAACAAGTTGCACCAGGCTAACAGCTAAAGACAAGTATCTCACCCTACTTTGTCTTCTTGTCCTTCTTCAGAACACCAGTGAGGGAGAGAGACAACAACAGTAATGGAGAGCAGGTCCGACCACTGAGATACCACCTGAACCCACAACCAGATATCCCAATGACCCCGGCCCAGAAAGAGGTGAAATTACATCAACGCACTCTGACCCACAGAAATGACCCCGGCCCAGAAAGAGGTGAAATAACATCAACGCACTCTGACCCAAGTTATTTTAGCACTAAACTTTGTGGCTACATGCTCATAACGTTAGCGTCATGCTACTACACAAGCTAACGGCACAAACGCTTTGAAGCAGGAACATCTTTTGATCTTAATATTACACCTCCTGAATTGAAACACTTTCAGTCAGAAGTGGAACCGTAGCGTCCCATAATTCCACCTCTGTCGCTGTGACATCATCGTACGTCCATACTTGAGTCACTGCGTCACTGCTGACTGATCTGACACTGACTCTACGGTTCTTCCACTCAGGTTCACCACAGACCGGCTCCTCCCACAAAGCCCCTCCCCCCTCACCCTGACTCCACCCCCACCAGTGCCCCACAGGTAACTGGCCTGTCTCTGCTGCTGGAGCTGCAGCTGGTTGGCAGTGTTGCAGTGTTGCATTCTGGGTGGTTTGTGTAGGTGGTGTTTGGTGTAGCAGCTTGTGTTGTTCTTCCTGTTGTATCGTGGTTTGTGGTTGAGTCTGTGGTTTGAGTTGTTCATTTCTTGTCCCGTTGTTGTTGACGTTTTGTTTTTTGGCTGTTGTAAAGTTTTTTAAGTTTTAGTCAGTGATCGTTGATTATTGACAACCTGTCGTCCTGATATTTGGTTTCACTGATAGACAATTGATGGATCAATTTTGTGCTGCAGGGTGTTAAACAGAGAGCTGCTCCCCCTTCCAAGCCTCTGCCCCCTGACCCCCTCTGCTGGCAGGTCCAGGTACTGTCACAGCCACAGTGTGTCAGTCACTCAACACTGTTAAATTCATTCTGATAAAGCTGAGAAAATCAAATTATTAGGTATCATAATACAAAAATGTTATCATTATTTGATACTGTTGCTAAACTGTTGACTTGAACTGAAAAAAGAGTTTTTAGAGAAGATGACAGATTCTTAGACTTTACCACATTCAGTTAAAACAATGATAAAACAATCCTAAAAATAATGGATTCTCTGAAGAGGTTTCGATCATTTATTTTGTGATGGTATTGATGGTGATGTCAGTGTGATGCTGTTGATGATGCTGTTGATGACAGTGGTGATAGTGATGGTGACGATGATGGTAATAACCACAGATGGTGATGAAGATGATGTCTGTTCTCTGCTGCTCCGTTCTTTTCTCTGTTTCTCTTTTCTCTTTACTCTATCTCACTAACTCGTCCAGCGGCTGGTGACTCGACCAGCTGCACCCAACAAGCCCCTCCCCCCCGACCCTGTCACACCTGTAAAGGTACCTTATGCATGTCAGCAAATACACGTGTCTGTCAGCAACTGCTTTGTCTTAGCGTCTCTTAGCAACTGTTGGTTTCTCTAAGCGTCTGTTGGCAACTGTCATCGTCAGACAACAATTATTAGCAGTCGTCGGTGTCTCAAAGCATGTGAAAAAAAAAATCTTCCTGTTGGTGTTTGGTGCTGATCAGCTGATCATTAATCAGTGGGATTTACTGATACATGTTGTGATTGGTTGGTTGTTCAGAGCGTGGTGATAATGGTACCTGTTACTGTGTTGTGTCACAGTGATTGGTGAAATGATTGATTGAAAAATTGATTAATGTGTTAAATGTTGAAAAATTGGTTTGAAATGGAATTTTTAATTTTTTGACGTTCTGTTTTTCCTCAGCTTCCTGTTTCACTCAAACCTCTGGTTCCCAGAAAGCCGTCCCCACTGACCGTCCCCCCACACGCCATGTCTTCCCCTCCTCCACGCAGCTCCTCCTGCAGCACCAAACCCAACATAGCCACAGCCACAGCCGCCCCCAACAGGTACCATCACTTTACTACGTCCAAACTCCAGAGAGAAACTTGATGATTTTAGAGGAAAACAGCTAAAAATGAGCCAGAATCCAGTCAGTTTCAGATTAGACAAAAAAAGATCGAATGTGGCTAAAAAATTGCCAATACTCAGAAAAAATGCTGAAAATAAATTTAGTCTCAATAAAAGTTGAAAGGAAACTGTAACCAAACAGATGGAAAAAATATTACTTAAAAAGTTCCTGTTTATTCTTCGCAGAAGACTTCCAGCCCCGCCCACTCGACCTTTAAACTCTCACAAAGTTGAGTCCTATTTCCCTCTGTGACTCCCTGGTGATCAGTGCCTCTGTGTGGACAATCAGGAATCGAACCCTCGACACTGGATATGTTTCTCTAAGGAGCACATCAGTGAAGAAAACAGTGCCCCTGGAGGCGACAGGGTGTCAGGGCCTCGGCCAGGACTTTGACCTGAAGCTGGTTCTTGACGTATCCTGGATCAACGAAATTCCTCAGGTTTTTAAACTGGTTTGAAACTCTCAGTTCAAGACGTGTCGAGCTGTTGAAACCGCTGTCAAACTGGTTCAAAAGTCTCCGACTCAGACGAGGCTGAAGTGTCAGAACCCAGGTTTAACAGACCTCTGAATGCTGGACTGGGTTTAAACTGTCAGTTTCAACTGAAAACAAAAAGTTTAGACCATTTTAAACTCAACAAACTGGTTAGTGCCGGTCTAAACTGGTTTATGGTCGAAATCAAACCAATTATTTTTAAATTTGATCAAACTTGTTCAGTCTCTGTCCAACTGGATTAAAATGAATTCATCCATAACTGTGAAACCACAACAGAGTCCAATTAAAAGCTTTAGAAAACACAAATATTTGTTTACAAAAACGATTCCTGAAGAATCAGACGACGACGTTTGTTTGACGGCTGATGTGAACTTTTTACTTTAAATAAATACATTTGTACTATATTGATCTTGTATTTGGGAAATTGCGTTGGCAGCAGATGTGCTGTTTACAGGCTGCCCCCAGCAAACATATGGTTCCTCTGGGAATCGAACCCAGGAAGCAGGCGTGCTAACCGCTACACCATGGAACTGAAAGATACGTGCAAGTTTGAAAAGGATTTTTCTACAGAAGAAATCGTGGAAAATGAATTTGGACTGGATTGGAGTTTTGAGCCAATCAGCTGATGATGATGTCACACCAAAGAAGGATGGATACGTCGAGTGTTGTTTTTAAATGCTGCATAATTGTGACTTTTTCTTAAAACCATAATAAAACTGTAAAGGAAACCTGGTGTGAACCTGAGTAAAGCTGTAAACTGGTCTGGCTGTTTTGATGGTTTAATCTACGTCCACATTTGTAAATAGTTTGGGTCTGGTGTCATTAATGGTTGTCAAATCAGTGTCATTTTGATTGATTGATTGATTGATTGATTGATTGTGGCAGTCACTGCTGTTACGTTGAAAATAAAAGAGAACGTTTTCGTTAATTTTCTGGTTTGGTTTTAACGTCGACTTTAAACTGTGACACACGCTGAGTCAGATCTGAAGAGCACTCAAAGGAAAAAGGTTTGTGAAACATAACAAATCCCCCCCCGCCACCCCCCCACACACACACCACCACCACTCACAGAACAGGAAGTTGCCGTTGCTCTTCCTCTGATTCTTGTCTCCGTCTTCTCACTTCACTTTCTGACGTGTGAAGCTGCAGATCAAGACTAAACAGATTCAGACTTCAGCCGATCATCTCTTCATCGTCTCCACGTTGAAGCTCCGCTCCACGTGATCTCCTCATGGCTCCTCCATCCATCCTGCTCCTCCTCCTCTTCCTGGCTGAAGTCTCTGGCGTCTCGATCCCTCCGACTCCTCCACGGGTCTCCTTCCTCCTCAGTGAGTCAGAATCTGTTGGTCATGTTATAGAAGTCTTTGATTGAATTATCCAACCATGATTTCAGTGTTTATTATTAAACAGCTTTGAAACTGGAGTCAGACCAGTTCATTCAAACACAACCAGTTTAGACTGGTTTGAATACTGACTGACCAAAGATGACTTCATTGGTCTCCATTTTTTTTAAAATTCTGGTTTAGAAACATTTTATGTTTTAATTAATTTGTCTCAGTCACGAGGCCACGCCCACCTGTCAGTCTGAGGGTCAGACCAAAATTAAATCAGCTCTATTTTAACCTCAGCTGAGCCACAGAAACAGGAAGTGACACGACCACTGAAGCCCTCCAGCATCTGTTTTTAGTCCTAATGACAGTAAGTGGACGACAAGTGCATGATGGGAAGGTTTCATATAGACTCATATAGGTTCCACCTTAAGAACCGCCTCACAATTTGGTACCAGAACTAGATTTCTGTGTGAAGAGACCACTTCAGAATTTAGTTTTGGACGGTTTCAGATTGAACTGATGTTTGAACCAAACAATCTTTCATCTTTTCTAGTCCAGGAAGTAGCTGCTGTTCACAACCTCTCTCTCTCTCTCTCTCTCTCTCCAGACTCTAAAGTCCGACCTCTGGTCCACTATAGAGACCCTGATGTCAGAAACACCACTGTCCTGCTGCTGAGTGACAACGGCTCCACCCTGTACGTGGGGGGGCGGGACGCCATCCTCTCACTGGACGTCAGTCAGAGTGATGTCATCACCCTGAAAAAGAAGGTGAGTTCAGGCGTTCAGGTTAAAACCATGTCCAGTTTCTCAAAGTCCAACTCTGCCACTAACCCTGACTCCGTCTCCGGTCCAGGTACTGTGGCGTCCTTCAGAAGCTGAGACAGAGAAATGTCGCCAAAAAGGGAAGAACGCCACGGTCAGTGATGTCATCACCTTCTCACCTCCGTCACCATTTGTTCAGTGTTGTCCCTGTCCAGGTTCTAGTCAAGGTTTAGGTCCAGGTCACTGAGAGCTCCAGTCTGACCTCACTGCCCCCCCCCCCTCCCCCTGTCTCCTCCCCCTACAGGTCGACTGTCCAAACTTCATCCGTGTCCTGCAGCAGATCAACTCCACCCATTTGTACGTCTGCGGCAGCTTCGCCTTCGGTCCACGAGATGGCGTCATTGTGAGTTACACACACACACGCACACGCGTGTGGACACGCAGACACACACACGCCCAAACTCATTCATCTGTTGGCTCCTCCCACTTAGGACACTCTCAGCTTCTCATTGGTGGAGCTGGGCAGTGCTAAGGGCCGTTGTCCTTTCAATCCACTGCAGAGCAACAGTGCCATCGTCATTGGTCAGTGACATCATCGTGATGACATCACCACGCTGTCACACAAACATTATAACCGTGTGTGTGTGTGTGTGTTTAGATGGAGAGCTCTTCACTGCCTCCACCTCTGACTTCAAAGGCGTCAACCCTCAGATCAGTCGTCACCTCAGCACCGACGCTCGTCCCGACATCATTTTGGACTCGTCTGTTATTTTACTGGAGGGTAAGTGAATGCAGCACGGCATGATGCCTTCACTGACCCGCAGGTTAGTGAAAGGATAACAGCTCTGTTGCTTGATCTCACTGCTGATTGCGAACCACTCAGTCTTGTCACTCAGTGACACAAAGTGACCACAGGAGGCAGCACTGGACCCAGTATATGCCTCGTCTGCATAAGCTAAAACCAAACAAGTTATTTGACATTTTTACCATAACTGTTTAAAATAAGTTGCATTTCAAACTTTCTTTACACTTGTTCAGAATCCAAACCAAGGTTCGTGTTTCACTTCATATCAAACCAGTTTCCAGACACTTCTTCATTTGTCTGTTTCCTGTAAGCTACTTCCTTTTCCTGAAATGTGGACAAAGGTCAAAACATTTCACCAGCCAGACTTAACTTTTGTCACACTTGCAGAAACATAGAGAAACAAGGAGAGATGGCACCTCCATCCTGTGATGTCACTTCCTTTCTTTCAGAGCCAACGTTCATCGGCACGTCGTCTGACCC